CCGGAGTGATTTGAGATTTGGGCGTAATTGCATATGTAAACAAACACGTATAGTTTGGAGTTGGTTGGAAATGCTAACATGAAGCTTTAGTGTGATGATTTATTAGCTAGAGAATGATCTTTAGAAGAGGGTAGGTGGATAGTTCCGTTAGAGTACGGCAGTATGAAAATTGAATAGAAGTTGAAAATGAGCGAGAAGGGCCATTAATGCGTCAGTTTTTCAAGATAGACGCACATTTTTGCCTAACCCGTACGATGCATTTCTCAACGGAAGAAGAAACATCGTATTTGGTTGGGATCTCGTGTTATAAACATTTCTAACATCGAAATATGCTACTTTATGGGTATACTTTTACAATGACTTCTTCCTATGAGAGATCCGCCTCTTAAAATAAACTTGGATAATTTAAATTGAACGTTAACGTACTTTATAAAACATTTGAAATCCGTTGAACTTTCGCTGAGATATGACAATTGACGCCAAGGTACAGACAACGTTAGTTTATTTGGCACAGACGAAGGGTTAATGCGACAACTTTGCTGTTTGACAGCTTCCGGTGTAATTTTTTACGTCATTTTGGAAAGCATATTTAATCACGTGTTTATTCCATCTTTGTACTGTAAGAGACATCTAAAATTAATGGTGAGGGGTGTACAATCCGTTTAGAATAAAACATTACGTCTCTTTGATGTGGGAGCCTATTATTTGATAGATGCCTCGCCTAATTTCAGAACTCAGAATTTTAATGTTGTCGAAAAAAATATCTTTACTTCTATTTTAACTGCCACTGAAGAAAAATCAATTATCACAGGTTGTTTCTAATTCCCAAAGCAACTGATGTACGTGGTCATTCCGTTAATTAATGTGAAAACGATAAAAAAATATGACTGCTTTTACTTAAGTGGGACGTTATAAATGCAATTAGACAAGAAGTTCTTGATTTGACTTTGTGTAGTCCAATAATCTCAGACAAAATCAAAAATTGGCATGTGTCAGACGAAATATCTTTGTCTGATCACAAGCAAATATTATTTGAATATGAGACTGGTCAACAGCTCACACAAACTTTTAGAGATCCTAGGAAAACAAACTGGGAGCTATATAATTCAGAGCTCGTGGCAGGAAGAGACACGATAGCAATTAGCTTAAACACTTGTGAAGAACTTGAGAATAGTTCTAAACAACTTTCAAATTTGATACAACATGCCTTTTTTGAGAGTTGCATCGATAAGGAACGCTCTACAAACAGGGATGTACCTTGGCGGAACAACAGACTACAGAAACTTCGTAAAAAAGCCCGGAAGCTTTTCAATAGGGCTAAACGAACATAACAGTGGGAACAATATAAGGAATCCCTCACCGCTTATAATCAGGAAATACGGAGATCAAAGAGGATACACTGGAAGCATACATGTGAGAACATTGGAAATACTCCAGCAACTGCTAGGTTGCAGAAAATACTCGCTTAAGATTATTCCAATGGTCTGGGCACTTTGAAAAAAGAGGATGGCTCTTTTACTACTTCTACAAATGAAACGTTAGAGTTGATGATGAGAACGCATTTTCCATGTTCAAACGAAGACCAAAACGCAACGACAACAGCAAGTGGTATCGATGAAACCAGGACGGATATTCATGAAATATTGAATGAAATGGGCGATTGACTCCTTTGAACCTTTCATGTCACCAGGTAGGGATGGAATTTTTCCTGTTCTACTACAGAAGGGAAAAACGGTTTTAATGCCTATTCTAACAAAGATATTTCGAGCAAGCTTAATATTAAGCTATATACCGGCAGTGTGGCGACAAGTGCGGGTTGTTTTTATCCCCTAGGCTAATAAAAAGGATAAAACTTCACCAAAACCCTTCAAGCCAATAAGCTTATAGTCTATTTTGCTTAAAATAATGGAAAAAAAACAATAGATGAATAAATAAAGTCATCATATCTAGTTACAAATCCTCTGAGGAAATATCAGTTTGTATACCAGGAAGGTAAGTCATCAGAAACAGCACTCCATACGGTTGTTACAAAACTAGAAAGATCTTTTGAACCAAAAGAAATTTCACATTGAAGCAAAAGACATTGAAGGTGCATTCGATAATTCATCTCACGATTCAATGACTACAGCTATGATGAAACGTGGCTTCGATCAAAGCATCTGTAAATTGGATCTAATCATATCAGCAAACCTTGAAAGCTTACTCATACTCATCAATGTAAGAGCAACCAAAGGGTGCCCGCAAGGAGGCGTGTTATCACCTCTATTGTGGTCTTTAATAGTTGATGATCTTCTCAAAAATTTAATAGCTCAAGGCTTCGAAATAATTGGCTTCACAGATGATATAGTCATAATTGTACGAGGCAAATATGATTGTATTATCGCTAACAGAATGCAAATTGCCCTAAATTTTGTCTCATCGTGGTGTGATAGGGAAGGATTAAACATAAATCCTTCTAAAACTACTATTGTGCCATTTAAACAAAGCTACTTATGCTCTATGGATATGCAAAAGAACATTCGGTAAATATTGGGGACTGAAACCAAAAATGATCCATTGGATTTACTCGGCAATTGCGAAACCCAGGATTACTTATGGTGCATTGGTCTGGTGGCTGAGAGAAAGTTAGAAAAACTCCAAAGATTAGCAACTCTCTCAATAACAGGTGCAATGAGAAGCACACCATCGAAGGCATTGGATGCTTTGCTTTATATACTACCATTGCATAAATTTGTACAATTAGAAGCCGAAAAGTGTGCTCTAAGGATTACAAGCTCAGTGAAACTCTTTGAAGGAGACCTGTTAGTATCAACTGTCTAGTAAGGAACAATGAAGACTAGATAGAGAAAAGATACAATTTCAAACGACTTTTTCAAGTATTTGACCCTGGGCGTAATTCATGGCAATTTGGTGGCCCGGTTCTTCGTCCAGGATCGATTATTTTTATACAGATGGTTCAAGATTGAGCAATCAAGTGGGAGCAGGAGTAACTGGCCCAGGGATAGGAATATCGGTTCCTATGGGCAGATGGCCAACTGTGTTGCAAGCTGAAATTCAAGCAATTTTAGAGTGTTCCATTATATGTTTGCGTAGAAACTATAAGAGTTCAAATATATGCGCCATGTCCGACAGTCAAGCTTCTCTAAATGCTTTAAAGTCGGTGACATGTACATCAAAACTTGTCTGGGAGTGTGTTCAACCACTTCAAAAATTGTCTTGTCATAATCAAGTCAACTTTTATTGGGTTCCTGGTCATTGCGGGATTGAGGAAAATGAAAGAGCTGATGCACTAGCAAGACTCGGATCTTCTCATAAGTTCATCGGGCCAGAGCCCTTTTGTGGCTTATCGGCTGCATCTCTTAGAATGGAGCTAAAAGCGTGGGAATCTTCAAAAGTGGAGGAAAACTGGAAGAACACTTCTATTGCTAGGCAGTCGAAGCGATTCATTAATCCAAACATTTCTGTGACCCACAAAATTCTGGAACTTTCTATAAAAGATCTTAGTATATATGCAGGTCTAATAACAGGTCATTGTCCGAGCCGTTATCACTTGAAGCTGATTGGAAAACTTCAAGATGATGTATGCCGCTTCTGTGGCATAGAAAAGGAAGACTCGGAACATTTACTATGCCACTGTCCGGCAATTTTCAATAAAAGGCGTAAGTTCTTCGACAAGGGGCTGAACCCTTTGACATTTGGAGAACAACTCCCAGTACGGCAGTGCACTTTAATCGAAGTATAATGCCGTGCTGGGATAATGCTATTAGTCAAACGTTGGCGATCACTCCTAATAATAGTGATCCGGCATTTTGATATAGCTAAAGAAAAAAAATGGGGAGTATATCACAATAGATCAGAAAAATGGTCGCAGTGATGAAAATACCCGACAAGGGATAAAAAGAAAAAGAAAAAGAAGTGGGACGTATTATACCTGTTTACCCTAAGGCTGATTGGTAAACCACCTTAGGACAGAAAGAGTTATGAGGCGCTTAAATGCCTGAGACTAAGGCATTTTTTCTATTCCAGACTAAGCAGAATGTAGTCGATAAGCGATCCTTTGAAAAGTAGCAGTCAGTTTACATAAACAGGTAGAGCAGGGTACATAAAACAGAGGTAAAAAGTACAAATAGTTAACAAGTTAACAAAATTCGATCAAAATGTTGACAAACATATTTTGAGATTGCAAATTCGCAAATTCTCGATTTTCCCAGTTGAATAGCCACCCTGCTATTGCAGCTTTCAGATTATTTGAAAATTCTAGAATTATTTATGGGACCTCATGTTCAAACCGCATTTTTGCCCCACCTTACTCTAACTGATATTGACTAAAAGCTTATCTATGAATACATACCAATCGTTTTATGATACTGCTTCGTGAAGGTCAAGAAATCCAGAAAAAATTCCATCCACTTGTGGATCAGAAAGAGAATCAAGTTCATATTCAGGATATAGGTAAATGAAAATCTATTTTGACGGCCTCCAATGTAAAACCTCAATAGAAAAACATTCAAATCCATAGTGGTTTTTCCCGAGACAAAAATGATTCTATGGTAACGTTTAGCCCCTTTTCTAGCGTAAAAAAACCCATTTACAATAGATTATGTTGTACCAAACAAAAAGCTCAATTGTATTTCTACTGTTGCAACAAAAAATGTAGCTACAATAGATCGTTTTGCCTTGTTTGATACAATATGTTCTCCTGTCTTTATACTTTATCAACTGGGTTCATTGGTGACTTGTTAGGGATTATAACCTTGACCATCCGGTGTTGGTATTTCATCGTAGATTACACACGGCTTGATACCATCATCGGTTGTTTACAGTCGGCGATTCCGCTCCAATTAGTGTAATAACTAACAACTGCTTACCATGCTACTGATGGTTATTGGTAGTCACTCGACACTGATAAAATAGTCATTCTTCCGAGGCAAATTTACACAGCACTTGAGTATTGTAAGTAAAAAAATATTAATACCCTTGCACCTAAAGTAATGTCTTACCTGTCGTAGACGATGGAATTTTGAAGCGCTTCTCCAGTGTGGTCAGGGTGATTACGAAGTAAATATAGGCCATTGCCTGTGTGGTGCCCAGGAATCCGTACACCATGATAAAGGAACGTGACGTCGCAAATCGCTGAAGCCATGTTGGATGCCAACATGATAATCCGCACATGTAGTTAGATTTCATTTTTGTTGCGATTTCACTTTGCCTCAAAACACAGTTATCACAAATAGACGCTTGACACCTTTCAATCGATATCGACTTTACGGTCGTTGAACTTGTCGCGACCGACACTGTGACCCTGCAACTTTCCTGCACAACTATCAATCCCGATAATCACTATCACTGATCATTGCACTATTTTTGCTACTAAAACTCGAATTTCCCCATACACCTTTGCCCAATTTGGCAAAAACCGTTATTTAGCACACTGGGAATATTCTCACCGATTCCGCATAATGTGGTCACCTGTTCGGTCGCGCATCACACACTCAACTGATGTCTGTTGCACGGAGAGCCTTCCGCCTACGAGACGGTATCAACTCAATCAGATTATCAGCACCACACGTATCGCCAATGTTCCTATCAACTTCTCAACCTTTCGATGATTTGCTATTTTTGTTGTCAGACTTCTCAACACTATATTGCTGCTTATTTTCCGACACAGTACTTAGGTAAACTGATTGTTTGACGGTTTTGGTTGCTTTATTCTTTCTATACTCTCTCGCCAGGTGTTATCGCCTTTTCATTTCGAACCTGGTGGTTTTACCTAACTGATAAATAATAAATTCACTTGAGGATAATGAAATTTGCCTTCAATGTGAGCACATGTGTAATTTGATTGACACGTTTTTTGGGGACGCGGGTAGCAATTTTGTAGGAAGGTAGTTTCGAACTTTTTGTCTGTTTGCCAAGTGAGTGACGCATTTGTTCATTCACTCACACAATCGATGGAGACGCTGGGTGCTAAGTGGGTCTTATGGTGCGTATGTTTTGTATACGTTCGCTCGTGCATGATTCACGGCATTTTGTCCTTATCGAATCTAGTTCTTCACATTGAGAAAAAAGCTGAGTATGAGTTCATTATGTAGTCAGGTAATCACAAAGAATAGGGTCCATTGAACCACCCAGTGGGACAAGAACGCTTATAGTGTCATAAATTAATAGTTAGAAAGAAATTACGTGTCTTCAACTAAGCCAGTCGTTGTCTCTGTGCTAACTGCGACCCACCTTGAGAAATTGCATAGCCTCGCGATCCACCAATATTGAATACAGATTTCATGAGGCCAAAATTACCCTTAAAACTATTAAAAGGATTTAAACCTAAAATGGCATTGAAGAGTTATTTCGTCAATATTTCAAAATAGCAAAAAAAAAAAACATAATTTTAAACCGCTTAAAAACGACAAAATTGTGGTAAACAGCCTTATAAATAGCCATGCAACAACAAAGAAGTATTAAGCAAAAGTGGACTAAACACGCTAAAAAAGTTATATCATTTTCGGAGCCACCTTGAAAGATGTGATTTGAATTGATGAACAGTGTGATTCAATACAATAGTACCTGATCAACCTAAAGTCATGAAAAAAATATCCAGACGACTTTACGGAGATTTTGGAGAGAAAATCTGAGAGATGTTATATGCATTATGGAATACTGGAATGATGATACCTGATCAATCTGAAACATGAAAAAACATCCTGAGGTTTTCAAGGCGATCTCTTATCACTTGGTGTTATTTCTAGACTAACATTTGAATAGGGCGAAAGAGCCAAAATGTAAACAAACCATATTTTGCCACAAATAGAGAGAACAGCTCACAAACAAACAGATAAACACGAAAAAGTACAAGAAAATATAATTTTAAATCATCAAAAACGTTTTCTTTTACATGGCGTATTTCCAATTTTCAACTCTATGATGCATCTGGTTGTTACGCCTTGTTTTAATATGTCAAACGTACTGATTCTTTAGTATCTAGTCACGCCCGATTAATTTGAAATGCATCCGATTGATATTTCACGTGTAAACAACGAACAAAAAGAAGACAAAAAAAAAATCTCAGGGCTCACAAAATTTGCGAAAGAAGAACCAAGGCGGAACAACAAACAAAAATTCAGTGTTGGCAGTTCAAAGGGTTGAAGATCCGGGGGGTAACAACATGGGGGCTGTTGATAAACTACGTAGACAGTTTAGGGGGGGGGGGGTTGATAATTATCCACGGCCCATACAAATTTCAAATTTTTTGTATGGACAATTGTCTACGCAGGGGGAGGGGGGGGGGGGTCAAGAATTCAAAAAAAACTGTCTCCTTAGTTTATGAACAGACCCATGTAAGAAATTATCAGGACGTACGATGTTTTCTTTTGAATTTCACGGCAAAAAAACTTTTTTTGAGTTTTTACTTATGTATGATGATACATTACACTATAAACTATATGTTAAGCTAATAAAATCATCAAAAAATGGAAATTCGTGAAATACGATTAATTTTTAGGTCATCAAAATTCGGAAGCGATTTTATCGATATGGTGATTTTGGAATTCCGCCCTTTTCAAATGTTAGTCTAAATTTTAAATAATTTCTGAGCAACCTGGAATCTTTGAGAATATGTTGGAGATGTAATTTTAAATGTTGGGCAGTTGAAGATCTTCAGAATGATACCTGATCAAGCTAAAGCCTAGTGGCGCCGGTGTTGTAGTGGTAAACGTGGTTACCTCTCACGCCAGCAGGCCTGGGTTCAATCCCAGTCGGCGCCGCCGGGATGTTCTAAGGCATAACATCTCGTTGGTCCCCAGTTCATGAGTTGATGGGTCGATCTTGTTTTCCGTGCTGAGCACCAATGCTACCGACGCCAGGGAGGTAGCTCCCACACCTGGACCCTACCTATCGACCCATCAACTCATGAACCGGGGACCAACGGCTTTACTTCCCCGAAGGAAGGCGTATTCAGAGATGTTATGCCTCAGAACATCCCAGTGGCACCGACTAGGATTGAACCCAGGCCTGCTGGAGTGAGAAGCAATCACGCTTACCACTACACCACCGGCGCCATCCTCGCATAATGTCAGTTTAAAAATCAAAGTTCTCATTAAAATCCTCTTGATATTGCTGTTTTCAAGGCTTCAGGTGTATCAGGTATTAATCTGAAAATCTTCAACCATACAACAATTGAAATCTCGGCTACTTGGACCACTCTCCCCATACAAATTTATCATTTTATTATCCATTCTGTCTTATACCCCGTATTTTGTTGACATATTATTTTCACTTAAAGTTAGATGCATGGATACTGATATCAATAGACTATATAACGGAATATAGGTTTTAGACGCAGCCGAAGAGAAACAAGTTGATGAAGTTCAGTATGTATAACCAGTACGAATTTCACACCAACTCGACCAGTGGTGGCAGCACTCTCTCTGATTCCAAATGACACTAATTGAGTGTACATCAGAGATGTCAGATTTACAGACATGTCTGTGAATTTACAGACTTTCATTTTTTTCACAGACATTTTTTTCGTTACAGACATTTACAGACGTCTCTCCGGGTCTTGAAACGAAATTAAGTTTTTCATGTGATATCATAGCGTTTCGGTACGCCTTGGTGTACGCGAAAGGCAAAAAGGTTGGTATTAGTAAATTGTGTTATATTTAGCCAAGTTTTTCTCCCCCAGGTGTGTAATTATTTTGCAAAATGTAATGAAAATGTTGCTCGATATATCTGACTTTAAAACTGTATTTGTAAAAACGTTACAACACTTGGCTTGGTATTTGGCTTCGTTTTCCAGTACTCTCTACCTTTCGATGATCTTTATCTCGATATTCCTTCCTATCTGAATCGTTTCAGCAACCCTGATCCTGGTTCAACAACACTTTTTGAGCACAAAGTGTTTAGAATCGTATTAATAATATTATAAATTGCTCTTTTGATTGTCGATTTCTCCATATTTGTGTGGTGGAAAGTTGAATCTATCACTAAGATGTGCTTGTTCTCCCGCTCCTGGCGTGCAAAAGGACCAGTACTAAGTAACAAATGGATTTACACACTACATGGCATATAAGATCGACTCAAATTTAAGTATAAATTACTCAAACTTTAGAAAACGTAGTTTCCATGTAGACTGAGAAAATTTTTCGAATATGGCAAAAATCGACGAAACATTTACTCAATATAGAAGTATACACTCAAAAAATAAATTCCATATCCAATGGAAAATATTCATTAGAATTTCATATAACTTTCATGTGATATCATAATAGGGAATTGCACCAAAAAATCACATGAACCTTATGTGTGAAATTAAATTTAAGTGATTTATCATATAGAACTTATGTGATCACATGAATGTAATGTGAAATTCAGATAGACATCATTAGTCTTGTTAATGGATAAATGTTATGTGCATTCCCAATGGAAACTACATGAAAACGTGTTTCCGTGAACTAATTTCATATGTGCATCGAGATGTTCCTCATATTAGAAAACAAATGCCTGTAAAAGCTCGGTAAGTTTTACTCAGTCTATGTTAAGAGATGAACTAGCCATATGGCTAAACATCTCTATAATAAAGAAAAAAACTCGGTCTATGAGTTAGCTACGTTTTCAAGAATATGAGTGAACTTATCTCAACTTTGAGTCGACCTTGTCGTGTAATCGAAATTTATCTTTTTATTAATTGCTTTTAACGTATACAACGTAAATGGATGCATTCCCAACTCCAATTAAGTTCAATTCGTTAAAAGCAGGTCTTTTTTGCTCGAGCATGACTTTTGCTGACATTTCAAATTTTGCATCAATTTCATGATCCCCATAGTCTTAATTTGGTATATTTGTCAGGATGAATGTGTTTGCGAGAAAGAGTGTGTGTGTGTATACATTCCTTCTGTAGTATTCATGTTCATCTCATGTTGAAATGATCAGTTCTTTAGATTTAAGTAAGTGTTTTAGAAATAGTTACCCTATTAAAACAAATGAAATTCGTAATCCTCTCAACCTTTCCCCATCCTTAAATTGTTAAACTCTCTAACCTCGAGACGACCGCAAGTAATCGGTTAAACCCCCTTAACTCTAGTTTTAAGATTCTTATTGTAGAAGAAAAAGAATATATCGGCTCTGTAAAGTTTATTAGACTGAGCCTGTACAAATAAACGAATTAACAAACAAAAAAAAAATTACCCCCACGAGATCGTGGCAGTTGGTGGTAGATGCAAGTCACTACCTCAGGATGATTTGGTAGTCTATATGTATAGCGATGAGGCCAGATAAAGTCTCAGGAGGGAAGAAATAAAGTCAAAGAAGAAGGTCTATAGCGATGCACTGCCGCTCATAGCAAGTCGGTCCCATTTGCGTTTTTGTCAAAACTGGTTTTTTTTTTCAATGGAAATGGTAGCTAATCACCCATATTGCCATAATACTGGATTAGCTCAACAACTTTGTTCTGGAAACGTTTGGAAAATAGTTAAACAGGTTGTCCCATTACATAAGACGCAATTGTGCACCGCAAACGTTTTTTTGGCTTGCTGATTTGTGCTATGGGACGAACTTGCTATGAGCGGCAGCGCAGCATTCAGATGACTTCTATATTCTTCTTCTTATTCTTTCCTTTATTTAACGTCGGTCTCTGTTCCGCAATCTAGTGCCAATCACCGACGGACATCGTTTGCCATCCATTGACGGCAATCGAATATGCAGGAAGGCAGCTTCCACACCTGCGTAGGATATCGCACCCATTCAACACACATGGACCGGGACCAACGGCTTTACTTCCCTTCCGAAGGAAGACGTGACCAGAGATTTTTATGCCTCAGAAAAATCCCACCGACCTCGGCTGGGATTGAACCCAGACCCATTGAGGTGTTAGAAAGCAGTCACGCTTACCGCTACACCACCGGTGCCGGCATGACTTCTATATGACTGATGACTATGTTAAATATTAGTGCATGAAAACCTTTGAATTTACTCAAAGTTCTGCACTAATACTTGTGCAATTCACAAATGTCAGAGAAGTCTATATTTGCACACAGGCACTCAGATAAACAGAGCAGAAAGCTGAACAGAGGAACGGAACTTGAAAAACCGGTTAAAAATCATTATACATATAACTAAAAGCAAGATTCACACCTCATGAATGGATCGCATAACATCATTCGAACAGTTTAAAATGACGTTTCCTACCATTAGAACTTTGCCGTGGAACAATATTTTGATATTGCCGTTTCAGGGAATAAATTGATAATCTGACGCCAAATGCTAATTTTTCTCTGAATTGGCAATATGCTTTCTTCTAGAACCTCAAGAAAATAGGGTCTTATTTATGGTGAGTGGGTGCACACTTGCTTTTATTGTAATACTTACAATGCCCTTTTTCATTTGCGTTTCAGCTCACGAAGGTTAACTTCTTGCTTTGAGGTTAACCACACGTTGCTAAAGGTAAACAGCATCATAACGTAACGATTTATTCATTTTCAATCTGTGCACCATGTGCATACAAATTCAAAAATAATAAAAAAAATACGATGCCTGGCGATGGCATGGCGAAATTAGCTCGTTTGATTCGTTTGATTGATATGGTCTCGGATGAAGTGTATTGATGTTCTTTTTTGGATAGCAATTACATTGGGCACAACAGGTAGAACACTTCTTTTCAACTGCTCACAGGGTGGTCCACCGAGTAATTATTTGCGCTAGTTTCAACGACCGGTCATTACTAGCTGCGGCAAAAAATCTACATAATGCATGACGTTACAATTCCAGTCCGACAATAGCTGATACATCGAATGGATGCATGTTATTCTCATCATTGATAAAATAACTCGGCAAAGTCACGTTTCACGGTGTGTTAGTTTATGCCAACGGCAACGTTTTTGCCAGACGTGCACTGTTGAGCGGTTGGAGTATGGCCGGGTGATAGTTTTGAGTCATCTGTCCGCAACAAGTAATGAAAACCACTAATACGTTTTCTATTTACCACTTTCACTGGTTACACCTAACTTGTTTTTTTGTCTGACAGATGAGTAACACGGAGTAACCTACTTGAAAACTTTCAAATATTAAGCATTACGTTAAATCACTCAGAGCAACCACTTCGCTCGACAGGTTCTACTGAACTGTCTGCTATTACTGAGTACCTGCCGGGAAAGGAACGTCTAACGATTGAGATGCTACGAATAATAATACCTATACGGTGAAGATCGCATGCAATAAAATTCCTTATTGGATGTCTTGATAGGGACCTGCCTAAATCTGAATACCGGTCGTGATTGTCTGAATCGTCTTCTTAATTTTGTATAATGCATTTTAATTAGATTCTATACGCTATTTCAAAACTACTCAAATTTAAGTAGGATCAAATCTGATCGGTCAAAACTGAACCTACCCAAAAATGGATAAACTAATTTGGGAATGATAAGTTGACAAATAAGCAACATCGAGTATATATGTTTGGCGTCAATATAGGTCTGTTCCCGTACTAGCTTTTATGTAAGATTATAAACAGTAAAAAACTTGCTGTCCATATTATTTTCTTACAGCAACCTACAGCAAAAGCAAAAAGCAAGTACAGCAACAGACCTAATAAATCGAAAGGAATTGCGAGCGTCACAGTCGCTTACGCATGGAAGCTTTACGAAAGCGTGTGCGTTTTTAAGATGCCAATAAGCATGAAAAAAACTTAGTAATTATGGTCATCACTGTTTCCTTGAATGATTAATTAGATAGAGAAGATATAAAGAATGAAGAATTGAAATATCGATTTTCATTGTGAAGCACAGTGGCACAATTCTGTCAAAGACGGTCAAAAGGTTTTTCTATCTTTTTCACCATAAACATTTAAATATATTCGAGTTGGGATCCCGCTAGGGCTTGCCCACTCTCTTTTCAGGCCTTGCCGGGTAGATAAAAATACCTCAGTCGTACAAAATTATGATCTTAATATCAAGCAAATGATAAGAATTAGCACGATATACACGGGAAATAATCCGTTCCAAAATTCGTCAACCTCCAGTCACGATTTTCGGAACAATTAAATTTTTCGTTTACAAAAGTACACCATGACTAAAAATCATGAAATCGTGAACATTGTTCCACAAAATAAACGTAATAATTTTAAATGGAGTGAGGAAGTGGAATGAAAACAATGGAAGCCTTGATGCAGGTTTTACCCGCATCCCAAACTGGCAGCAGGTATCTGTCCAGCAGATGGAATGAACACACTTTCAATCGAGTTTTCAACACCACCTTCGACTTCCATCGGAGCGGCGGGAGCAAGAACACCGCATGCGTTCGGGGATTCTTTTTCTTCAAGGACGGCCAGTACGATGACATGTACCAGCCACTGCCATTGTGCCGGACCACCATTCTGATGATACGGCTCAGCTCACTCACTAATAATCGAGACACTATTCTCGACGGATCCGAGCACTCTATAAGGATAAAATCAACAACAACTGAAAATGACAGCTGCAGCATTGCATGTGCTCCAATTCACGATTTCAGGAACGAAAATTACACATTCATGGACCACGAAATCATGATTTTATTTTGTGTTTTCTGTAGCGTTATGAAATCGATGGTCGCGCTGAACAGGCGTGACGTAAGTTCATGGATTTGGGATTTATTTCATGAAAATGTTATTTACTCGTTTACGGGAACTAAGTCATGAATTCAAACGAACTAGCAGTTCATGCTTTCGTGATTTGTTGTTCACGAATACCGGAACGGTTTTTTTTTGCTCAACTTTAGATATCAATAGTATAGATTCTACCCGAGTTCATTGTTCTACGACTTTGTTGATGACTTATAAGCCCGTTATCTCATGACTTGTGTAATACTACCTTAACACTCCGAATACGGTGGATAAAAAACATTACGCCGACTACGAAGCTTCCGAAAAACGTGTAACAGTAAGTTTGCAATGGCATAACTTAGCCATTTCTTGATAAGTTTAAACAATTGTGGTACCTTTAGAATTCTTAGGGTCTGTAGTTTATTTTGATTGAAAATAGAGTCGTCTACTTTTTTAAAAAGCAAAAAGGTTCGTTACACGTTCTTTTTTGAAAGGTGTATTTATAGGATTTTGCTGTAATTTAGATTAATGGGCACAAATGATAACAATAAGCCAGAACACAGTCATGGTTCCTATATTTGGATCCTGGAGACAATGGAACGGTCCTCGAAAAATCCGGATCATCCGTAAAAGTGGACAATCCACGAAACTGATCCTAGAGCTCCGGGTTTTTTTTTAACACTAGGAACTGTGATATAAGAATGAATTTTAGACATGGACCCAAATGGCCATCGGACCGTGCAGCGGAAGATCTGGAATATCCGTAAAAGTGGTAAATCCACGATCCTGATCCTAGAGCTCCGCGTTTTTTTTTTACATTAGGAACTGTGATGATAGAAATAATTTGGGGTTATGACATAAACATGGATCCTCTGGTAAGTCCAGGACATCCGTAAAAGAGGTCAATCAATGAAACTGATCCTAGAGCTCCGCAGTTTTTTTTTCAAAAAAAACATTAGGAACTGTGATATAAGAATGAATTTGGGGTCGTGACATTAGAGGGATTCCATCCAGAATGAGCTGAAAAAACGTGAAATCGTGCTCGACCATCTTCGATCTGGATGATACTTGGCACATATTTTCAGTATGATAGACCAAGTATTTTCCGCAGGAGAGGAGACCCTTTTGACTCAAGGGTAATTTTTGAAAAGGGCCTATGTGTTTTTGCACACATACTTTAAAAAAAATGTAGTTCGAAAACAGTTGGTTGTAGAAAAAAATTTACTAAGAAGGAGTTGTAGGAAACTAATAAGGCTTTATAAAAAAAATATACACGGAATTTTTTTTTCGTTTTTTTACAAAAAAAAATTAAAAATAAACCTCAAAATTCAAATAACAAAAAAAAACGTATTTTTGATTTTTTTTATATCTTTTTAATAAAAACTTGAATAGTTTTGAAAACAACTCCAGGATGGACAAACTTTTAATAAAAAAGTTTTTCTAAGAGCAACTTTTAAGGCATTTTTGAAACTTTCATTATTTACGGCAAAATGTTCAGTTTGATGTCAGTATATGAATATAAAAATCATTTCAAATGATAGTGCTCATATCAATAAACTTCCTAAATATAACCGTTTTCGAGATATTTCAAATTTACTTTCATAAAAATAATTTTTTTTGTAGAAAATATGCCATTTTCATAAGTTAATCGTGATTCTCCATCAGCCTTGATATGTTTAGCAAGATACACATATATTTACCTTCAATTTGTCTTTTGACGATTGAACAATCAGACAACCCGTTTAGAATTTACAGGGGAAATGAAAACACTATTATTTTAAATATAGAAACCAACACAAGTTAAGTTGCACTTATTTTCATTATCAGGCGTAGTTTCATCCTATTTAAGTTGTTAATATTGATGCACCTATCCATCATATTATTTTAGGGACATTATAATGTCTTCCATGGTATTTTTCATGAAAAAAAAGAGCTTCTCTGTTAGATTAGCTTCAATACCAAAACAATATTTATACCTTAATATCCAAATGGTACCTACGTTTGTATTTAAGCATGAACATCCTTTTGAAAACAGACATCACTAAAAATATCTTTTTGAGTGAACAAGTATAATTTGAATATGGAATTCAAGAAGGTCAAGTGTTGCAAGCCGTTTCCTTATAAACGGTGTTCGTCAATGCTTCGTAAATTATCCGAAAATTTGATTGAAAAACATAAGTTCCTAGAATGGAAATTTAATTTGGATACATCTCTATCAATCTGTGACACGTGTCGCTTGAATTTGAATAGAATCGAACCATGTGCTGAAAATCTGGAACTAGAAGTGCAACCGTCAGTCATGGACCGCAGCCATCTACATCTCGACATAGCTTCGAAGAAATGCCATCAACTACGTCAATAACAACAGCATCATCTCAAGATAGTGGAGAGCAACAATTTTCCAGGATGCATAATATTGAGCTGGCATAGCTGGTATCAACGTATCGCCAATATCGACAAAAAAATTCCAGAATGTTAACTATCCCCGGAGAAAGTATATGGACATTACCAATGGCATTAAGAAACGCATCTTTGGTTTTCAAGCGGAAGAAGATGACCTGGAGCAACTTAAATTGAAAGCTGCGGAACACAATGAGATGATCGGAAAACTGAAGGAGAGATTTGCTGATCCAGGTTCATCGAGCGACGATCAAATAAGGATTCTGACGATTTTGCCGAAATCTTGGTCATCGCAAACGGTAATGGACGAGTTTGAAACAAATAAATACATTGTATTGCAAGCTCGATGCTTGGAAAACGGGAAAGGAGTATTGGCCACCCCCAACGAAAGGTTAGGACACGGTTTGGATCCCGAAATTAAAAACGAGGTATTGCAGTTCTTCGAAAGCGACCAGATAAGCAGAGCCACGCCAGGACTAAACGATTACGTTTCAGTGAAGAAGGAAGGTAAGAAGATTCATATTCAAAAGCGACTTTTAGTTTGTACATTGCGAGAAGCTTTTATTAAATTTCAAGAAGTTAGTAAAAATAGCATTGGATTTAGTTCATTTGCAGCACTTAAACCAAAGCATTGCAAATTACTTGGTAGTTCAGGTTCTCACAATATGTGTGTTTGTACCATCCATGAAAATATTAATTTAATGTTTCATTGTCTTAGAAAATATTCATTCGAAAAAGATTTCAACCATTATTTTGAAGAAATATTATGCAGCTCATCATTGTTACCTCCGCGAATGCGAACGTTGCCCAGGTCTCTCAGATTTTGAAAGAAGTTTTTCAGAAAAATTCGAGGAACAGGGTATGTCTGAAATATGTTTTGAACAATGGGTTTCAACTGATCGATGTAGTTTAGAGAAACTTGTAAAACCAGTAGATGGATTTGTTCCTTATTTTTGCGAAAAGTTGGAAAAACTGGTATCCCATGATTATATTAAAACTCAGCAGTCTAGTTTCTTGAGAAATACAAAAAATACTCTTAAAAATGGAGAAGTTGTCATAATTTGTGATTTTTCCGAAAATTATTCATTTGTTCTTCTGCTGCCCAAAGTAGTTACTGGAATAATCAACAAGCTGCTATTCTTCCTTTTTACATTTATTATTCAGAATCAGGTAGAATTAAAAATTCATAACATATAAAAACATACCAATCAAAAGTTCATCAAATAAAAATATATTCAACGAAAAGGTTTATGTACAAATTATTATTATTAAAGACGATCGAAAGTAATAAATGTAAGATGCAAATAAAAACGCATGGGTATTTAATTTATTTATCTTATTTATCTTATAAGTTTAAAACCAAACTTCCAATAGTCTATTGGTGCAAGGGTAAGGCGAAGGTAAGTACATGCGTATCTTGCAAAACTTATCATATTTGATGGACAATCACGTATAACTTACGAAAAGGGCATATTTTCTACAAAAAATTGATTATGATGAAAGTAAATTTGAAATATCTTGAAAACGGTTACATTTAGGAAGTTTATCGATATGAGCACTATCGTTTGAAATGATTTTTATATTCATATACTGACATCAAACTGAACATTTTGCCGTAAATAATGAAAGTTTCAAAAATGCCTTAAAAGTTGCTCTTAGAAAAACTTTTTTATTAAAAGTTTGTCCATCCTGGAGTTGTTTTCAAAACTTCTGCTTTCTATTCAAGTTTTTATTAAAAAAATATAAAAAAAATCAAAAATACGTTTTTTTTTGTTATTTGAATTTTGAGGTTTATTTTTAATTTTTTTTTTGTAAAAAAACGAAAAAAAAATTCCGTGCATATTTTTTTATAAAGCCTTATTAGTTTCCTACAACTCCTTCTTAGTAAATTTTTTTCTACAACCAACTGTTTTCGAACTACATTTTTTTTAAAAGTATGTGTGCAAAAACACATAGGCCCTTTTCAAAAATTACCCTTGAGTCAAAAGGGTCTCCTCTCCTGCGGAAAATACTTGGTCTATCATACTGAAAATATGTGCCAAGTATCATTCAGATCGAAGATAGTCAAGTTTGGTGACTGACCGATTTGGCGTGGAATTGGTCATTAACATGTACCTAGATAGCCATGGGACCGTGGTCGATATGTAGGGTCCAGGTGGTGGGAGCTGCCTCCCTGGCGTCGGTAGCATTGGTGCTCAGCACAGAAAACAAGATCGACGGAAAACAAATAACGATGACTTTGTAAAATTGAAGTGCGGGACGAAATATTAGTGATTAGTGTGTGCGTATATAAAACCAGTTATGTATAAGGTTAATTTCCGAAAAAAATCTCAGTCATGGAGCACCGTTTCAAGCACTAATACAGCAAAAAACGAGCACATATTACCTGTGCAGCTTGAAAATTTAATATCGGTGAAATAACAGGCAAGCATAAGTGCACCGTATTCCGATGACGTTCATTCCATGAGTTTCATCTCCTAATGATAAAGCCTCGGATTTCTTCGTGCACGCAACCTTCGCCACCGCAGTTCTACCCGAACACTGATAAGATTAGATATTATCGTTATCGACTTCATGTGAATTAAAGCGAGTCGCAGCGCAGGTCTTGATGTCCCACTTGGTTATCCATTTAGTAGTGAGTTCGTGTTGTGGAAGTGTTCCTCTTCCAAAAATCCGCCCATTCTAGAGCATGGGCAATCAAGTGATTTATAATTAGTGGCTAGCTTTCGCGAAAAATTAAACCGGTGAAATGATTCGGCCAGCTTCATTGATCCGCGACGACGAGGACCGTCTTCCGCAGTTCCAAGCCAACGCAAGCAACATAAGAGAGGGCAAGTGCTATTACGAGTAAAAAACAAACCAGTGCCCGCTTGTTGAGTGATGACGAAATCCTCACATTCCAGATTCCATCGATTGCGGCATCAAGGCGTGCAACTGCTGTAATGGGCCAGGATGTCAGCGACTAGGAACAACCACTTCGTACTTGGTGATTTTATCGCTGATAGGATTCGTTCAGGGTGGGGTCGAGGCTTACTTTAGGATTGCTGCCCATCAAGCTGCCAGCGAGCACAATTTAGATCCTTTCATCATAGATTGGCTACTGGTGACCAACGGAATAGCTCAGGGTGTATTTGCCCTTCTGGTTGCCTACTGGGGCAATCGAGTGCATCGTATCTCGTGGTTAGGAGGAATTCTTATGCTGCAAGCCGTTGGACTGGTGCTGCTCATCATACCAACGCTGACTCACAAGTATGTTGCCATCGATGTGTGTACTTTTTGATAAGGACGGCCAGGTTTATCATGATTTCTGCGAACGTAACGAAACCACCGGGGTATTCTGTTATCGTGTTATCTATATCTATGTGTAGGCCTCTTTATCGACAATTGCAGAGTTTTGGTGATGTGTGTTTTTATGATACAGTGCAGTGGATAAAGATGCGAGCTAGGAAGGATGATCGATTTGTGTGTTTGGCAAAACTGTGACCTTCCCGCACTGATGCGAGTGAAAGCTGAATCACCAAAGAGTTTTGCATATATAGAATTTGAGGTGGTAAAAATCAAACGGCTTTTATGCTAGTTGCATGTTACGTTCCAGCTGTAACTTAAGCATACACAGGAAAGTCGAGAAAATATTCAACACGGGATAGGCATGGGACCCATTGTTTTCATTATGGTACGTGTTAAAGGAGAGTTCAAATCCGTATTGTACCTGTAGCTTACTAACATTGGATCATCCTTCGACAGATATCGGGTTTTATTGCTTCGGAAACTTAGCTATGAATTGAGTTTAGAATCAGGCTTGATGGAGCCTCACTCACGAGTTTGAAATGAGCAGAGCGTAGCATTTTTCTGAGGAGTAGAATGTCTACTGCCAAATCATTCCACTGAGCTTCAGAGCTTGTGAGCGAAAGGGGATAAAATGAGATTGAGGTTTGTTGCCATTCATGTTCATGTTTTCTATCGCACGCTCTTACTCTCACTCTGGGTGAACTCTGAGCTTCTTGCGTCGAACAAAAAAGTCATCCGGAATCTCGAAAAGCGCGCCTCACAAATTAGTGACAGTAACAGTAAGACCTGTAATTCCAAGGTTTGTTAAGTTAGGGCTTTATTCAGAACGCTAAAAAATGTACACACGAAAACAAGGTGCACTATTTTTCAACTATTTTAAGCTTGAAATCCTTACAATCAATTCTTGGTGAGGGGAAACAGTTCATAGCAATCTCGATTTTAATTCATAAAATTTGACAAGCCACAATGCTAGTTTATTACTTAAACTAGCATTTCAGCACACAAAATCCCAAAATTAAGAGTGGAATAGCTAGCCACATTGCCCGGGTACATTTGACCCCTGTTCTACCCCACATCTTTTATTTACCGATTGAGTAAAAGCATTTTACTAAATATTGTTTTTTTTTAGATTTCGTTCGTTTTGTGAACCATATCCATCATGTTGCATGAGAAAACGTGGTGTTTCTGTGGATTTTCACAATCAACGTTTGAAAATTTGGATTAAAAAACATTCTGCATTTCTGTGTTAAGTGTTAATTGTGTGTTTCATTCATTCTATCAAATATCAAATATATGGAACTCTACGATTTTTACTGCTTTTTATTTGAGGTGTGTCCCTTTGACATATGGTTCACTTTTTTGAGTTGTGACCATATTGCATGAATAAAAAACATGCTAAAGATTAACTAAATTGCATATTTGTATGGGCAACGTAGGCACAACTCAACATGTGCCTTTGATGATACTTCAATTTTGGAAAAAGTTGCAAAGACATATCTACATATAACTTTCTTTTCTTCACGAATTTAAAAATGGGTTTTTGAGGAATGAAACTTCACACTATTTGTCATCATTTATCATCAAAATCTCATAAATGAAAAATTTCGGCTTGTAACAGTATTGCATGGAACCGACGATTTCAGTACCAAGCACTGAAATTATCAGACGGTACCTCTATTTATGTTTTTAGATTAGTATTGTAGGTCCTTCCTACTTGGAGAATTATGCTATGGAACGACTTGCAATGCCTAGCTTCAATTATAATTTCCCGGATTTTTTGCTGGATTTTTAAGCTCACTTTTAAGATTTTAAATTTTACATTTATCAAAATTCAAACAATCTCCACCCAATTAACAAAAGTACATAATATTTAAAAATGTTTAAAATATTTGCAGTACATAAATTTACTAATCAAAAACTGCTATTAATCCGAACCACTTTACGTAGTATCTCACTTTCCGGCAGGTGCTTTTAAAAATTTGGTTTTTTGCAATCGTAAAATTGAACATGTTTGTAGTTTTGTGGCGAACGTTTAAGCTCAATTGATCTTAAGAGAACAAAGTTACAACATGTCAAAGTTGTCAATTTCGAATGAAAATCGACATGCACTGCTTTTATATCGAACAACACTGTAAATCATTCAAGTTTACATTTTAGATCGTGTAAAGTTATGAGACATTTCAAAGATTATTCCAAATATTGTATGCAACCCTCCATATTTGTATGAAACATTTCTTACAAGTTGCTCGTGAAAATAAAGTTTACATGCACGGTTGTTTACATCAGCAGTAAAATTCAGAATTTTTATCTGTGTGTTGTTTCATCGTAAAAATAGCCATAAACGCTCAAATTCCGTGAATTATAATAAATTTTACAATAGAACGTAATGAGTCCGGTAAAAGTTACTGTTGCAAAAACTTTTCAAAGATTTAAGGAGTGTTATTCGATCTTCCCCATGAAGTTTTCAGAAAACGAATGTCAGGATTGATATATGGCTATCACCAACACAGTGAATCAAAACCAAGGTTTATCAGCTCCTGCAGTAGCAAAACATATTGTGAATGAGATTGCAATTCTTGTTACACCCCAAATAGTTCCAAATTGACTAAGTACTTCAACATGATTTCAAGGACAAACTGGAATGACAACGAATTATCATGACGGTTGACTTGCATTATCGCTTCCAATATTCTGGCGCACACACTAGCTCGACTAAAAACTGATAAATATGTGCGCTTCTGAAGTTACAAAGTGATAATGAGCATCAGTTACATGACTTCGGGGAGCTTCACCATAAGTTAATCTTCTTCTTCTTTCCTGTAGAGCAGTGATGCAAAACTAGACACGCGCTTACCAATGCATCAACACTGATAACAAATTATTGATTAACATTACATCCTTGTCCAACGTCCTTGTCATAAGCTAAATAAATAAAACAATTGAAACCTTTACAGCTCAGATGACTCACAGACTATTGTCGCCTCGCAAGTGAATAACGTTTGCGTCCTGGAACAGTCGGCTCAACTGCAAATGGAACATGCTCACGCCATTACCACCCTTGTGCTAATGTTTATTGCACAGGCCGTCATCGGAATTGCCAATATAGCCTTCTATTGTTTGGGTATGAGCTACATGGATGACAATCTGAGGGAACACCAAAGTCCTGCCTATATTGGTATGTTTTCATTCATGGATTTCTATAACAAGCAAATAATATAGGTACTACGCTGTATTTCAGGATGCGCACTGGGTGCTCGCATTTGGGGTCAACAGTTTGGCCTGGCGATCGTACTGGCCGTTGGTGCCACAACGCTGAGTTGGTGGCTCGGTTGGGTCATCATCGGACCCATCGTCTTCGTACTTGGCTTCCTGATTTCTCTCTTTCCGAAGCGACTACTTTCTACTCTGGTCCGGCAGGCAGCGGATGACATCATTGAAACAGCCACCAACAACAGCACGCAATCGTTACCTGAGCACAAATGGTTGGCCGACATAAGTTTTGCACCTTCACTGAAACGTGTTTTTACCAACGGTATTCTGATCTTCAACGTGTTGGCACTCGTCTTCGTGCAGACCGGTATCATCAATTTCAGTGCGCACGAACAAAATTACCTTCAATCACGGTTCTTTCTACCTACATCGAATGTCAACGGATTGAACGATGAGTGGACGTCCAGATTGATTACAAATTTACTGCGACCACCAGTTGTTGCCTTGGCCATTGTGGTGGCCGGATTGATCATTTCCAAATCGAATCCTAGTCCTAGGTAAGTTTGTTTTTAATTGATCATGACAAATTTCATTCCAAAACGTGTATGGGGTTGGCAGCATCCTCTCAGAGTCCAATGAAGCATTTGAATTGTGGGTTTAATAAGTTAGTGTACAATTGGGTGAACCAATTTTACAACCCCTGCTCCCTCACTGCCCTTTCGAACTACATACATAAAGGGTGTCCACGATGAAATTGCCACACACAAAATTGATTCGCAAAATTCGAGTTTTCATCCGATTGCCATCAAATTTTCAGGGATTGAGAAATAACTATTAAACTTCATTTTACCATTTTACTCGTATTTTATTTACAGTCCATACGCAAATGCCCGCACCTTGGCCTTAACCCCGGCCATAAGATTCTGCACAACCTGTGAATCAACCGTTTTTTGCATGTAAACCCCTACTTTCTTCAGTTCCTCGACTGTCTTCACTACCTTAGGTCGTTTAAGAAGGTGCTGCTTCATAATCGCGCAGTACTTCTCGATGGGGCGGAGCTCCGGAGTGTTAGGAGGGTTGAACATTTTCGGCACGAAATTGACCTTATTGTCCGCATACCACTTCAGCACGTCCTTGGAGTAGTGGCATGAGGCCTAATCCGGCCAGAAGATTGTTGGGACGTTATGGGCCTTCAGGAGAGGAAGCAGCCGCTTCTGGAGGCACTCTTTTATGTACACCTGTCCGTTCATCGTGTCCTGGGTCACGAAAGGTGCACTCCGCTTCCCGCACGTGCAGATGGCTTGCCAAACCAGGAATTTCTTCGCAAATTTGGACATCTTCTGAGTGCGGACATGCTCCGGAACGCTGAACTTATCCTTGGCCGTGAAAAACAGGTTGCCGGGGATCTGTTTGAAGTCGGCCTTCACATATGTTTCGTCTTCCATGATGCAGCATTCAACTTTCGTCAGCATGTTGAGGTACAACTTCCTGGCACGGGTTTTGGCGGACTTGTTCTGCTTCTCGTCGCGATTATGGGCCTTTTATACCTTGAACGTTCGAAGCCCAGCCTTAGTTTTGGCCTTCTGGACAAAACTTCGGCTTAGGTGCAGCTTCTTAGCCACATCCCTAACGGAGGCGTTCGGATTTCGGTTGAAGGCCCCAACTACGCGGTTGTGATTTTTGGTGTTGTACGGAATACTTTTTCCTTCACTTCTGGGCTTCCGATCGGTGGTCAACCGTTCCTCGAACCGCTTAATCACTCGCGACACCGTGGAATTCGCGATTCCCAACGTTTTAGCGATGGAACGATGCGAGAGATCCTTGTTCTCGTGATGAATGCGCAAGATTTTATCACGCACGAGCTGTTCTTTCGACTCCATTTCCGCGAGTTTTGATCACAGGACTTTAAAACTTGCAGGATGTAAATAATGCACTAGGAACTAAATCCACCCAAATTTTCATTAAATTCTACCCAACGGTTAAAAAGTTAGAGCAATTTCATAGTGTGGCAATTTCATCGTGGACACCCTTTACATAAGGCCAACATCTATGCCAATTTTGAACGAATTTTTGGTATGATCTGGGGCCTCATTTCGCAAGTCGAAACAGAATTTTTCATGCAAGGGTGCATACAAAAAATGCTTTGTCTCGACTTGCGCAATGAGGCCCCTGGATTTGCGGGAGGATTTAAAGTTTGTATGCAAGAATGTATTGGAAACGGAATGAAACTATTCAGTAGCTTGTCAAAAATTCAAACAATTCTCAATTTTGATCAAACCTGAACCTAAGAATAACTTTGTCGAAGACCGTAAATTGATACGACTTCTGTACACATATTTATTGATATTTTATTTAAGGCCAAGTGCTCCGCGCATGCCTATACAGGCGTATATATAGTTTCATTCCATTTCCCATAACGGGTGTTCAATTAAAAATGAGAATTTTTTCAGTCATATAGGGGAAATGACGGCTTCGGCATGACAGACTATTTTCGGCAACACAAATTGAAACACTATTTTCACTGGATTTTCTTGCGAACACACTTCGCTGAATGCATGCAAACGATTCTTTATGCTTTCAGCTTCAATATGACTATATTTTTACCACTGAGAAAAAGCAATCTAGCAAGGTTTTCTTGAAATGCAACACACGCACTACAAATTGTAGCTGATTTCGAGTTGCCGATAATAGAACAGCAGATTTACATGCAGTTCAAATGGAACGGTTGCCGAAGAAAAACTGGTTGCCGACAATACTCGCTCTCACTAGAGAAGATTGGAGCTTTGTAAAAGCGTTTCAAAACAGTTTTTGACAATTCTTTCGACTGAAATTGTTAGAGCAGCTGGCAGCAAAAGATTGTAAACAAACCAATACTGCATATGTGTGCGTTCCTTAGAGAAAAAGGCTATTGAAAGAAGGTCGCTGCTTAGGTTGCCGAGAATACGTAAATTCCCCTAGCTAATAAAAAAAATAAATTTCAACGAATTCAGTATTTTTTATTAAAAACATAATGTTTATTCCTCAAAAAACGTCAATGAATATTGGAGAAGGGGCCCTGGTCAGCCGTACGACGCAACTTAGTAGCGATGCTCTCACAAGAGCGCCGGTCGGAACTGAAATCATTCTCAGTTTTTATGGAACACCCGTTACATGTTCCAATACAAAATTTAAAGTTCTTCCAAAAATCCAGATTGTAACCAATTTCGTTCACATCTGGAATTAATGTTGCGGACCTCAAAATAGATAAAAAAAAAAAAGAGTAGTGGACAGAGGGTTGTGAGGCACGGACCACGTCCTTACAGGCATTGGGGAACCCAAGCAGGAGAATATAACAAATGAATACCTAATTCTTAGGATTACAAAATTTGGTGTTGATTAATCGAAAAAAGATTAAATAAATAATTTGTTATTATAATAACTAACCGATAATCATCGCTATTTTGATGCCAGATTACCATAATTTGTTATTTACAAGGTCTTCTAATATAAATCTAATAACTTTTATATGTGTTAGGGGAAATGGACGTAGTGTCGGCCTAAATGCTCCTAATTTGGACGCATACATAAATTCAGCAATCGACTAAATTTTCAATAGCTACCAAAAAATATCCATTAGTACCGTCTCAATGAGGCAATAATCTAGATAAAATTGACAATTCGCAGATTTTTAGCCATGGGCCCAATCTTAGATCCATTGGCCAACATTAGAGTCATTTCCCCTATTATCTAAAAAACCGATAGATCACGTTTTGTTATTTTGGTATTTTTTATATTTAACAAAATATTTCGATTACTGAATAATATAAAAACATTCAAGTTTCTAGATTTTTGCCTGTAGACTTGGAGACATACTTCAAGTCTCCGCGTACATCGTACGGGTTAGGCAAAAGATGTGCGTCTATCTTCAAAAAACTGTCGCATTAATGGCCCTTCGCTCATTTTCAACTTCTATTCAATTTTCATACTGCCGTGCTCTAACGGAACTATCCACCTACCCTCTTCTAAAGATCATTCTCTAGCTAATAAATCATCACACTAAAGCTTCATGTTAGCATTTCCAACCAACTCATAAAAACAATGTTTTATACCACAAGAATATCAAAATAAGGTACCATACCACATTATGATACTCAAATGTTATCATTACTTGCTCGGGTTTTGTCATTCGTGACTTGTCCGGGGAGGATATTTGAACTCGTAACTTTTGCGCGATAGATAGGAAGGAATATTATTGGGTAAAGTAGCTTAGCAGTAGTCTGCATTTATGATTTGAAAAAGCTGTTCTTCTCTAAGGGATCGGATTTTGAGTCGACTTCTAGATTTGAAGGTTCTGGGTTTGAATGTTGTTGTTCTTGTTCAGGTTTCTAACTCACATAGACATAGAAAAGATTTCAAGATTTATAGATTGAGCACTCCTGAGCGGCAAGAACTCGCTAACGAATTTGCAACCAAATGTCATGCTTGAAATGCTCATGCATTTTCACGTATTATTCACAATCCAAAAAAATTTCTCCAGCTCAAAACTCATAAAAACCAGACAAACGTCAATTGATGAACAAAAATTCATGTGATTTATTTGAAACCCTTCGAATTTCATATTGAAATAATTGCCATTCTATGCAAAAAGCACGTTTAAAAATCCAAATTTAATTTTACAAAAATGGAATTAATACTATTGTTTATTGATTTATTATCCAGCATGCAAATCATAGCCAAATTATTGATGAAATAGTTTTCTCATGGGAATTTCATTCGATTTTTCTTAACTTGGATATATCAGGAAAACTGGCAGCTCATGTTACGGTGAGTATGGGTCTTCAGACTAGAAGCGCCCTGAAACGTGCCAAACTGATCATGCTGAGGGGTCCAATTCACATGAAAAAATTGAAAACAAGATCAATGATAGCCATACTGAGTGCCCAGGACCACATTGGCTACATCCGGACATGTTCCGAACACACCAGGGACTGACTGACTTGGACCAGACCCCATCAGTGGCCCAAGATCACGCTTGATTTTCGTAGACAAAAATCAACAAGCACACAACTGCAGTTGATTTTGCAAGCTGTGACATTGCAGCTCGGAATATGAAACTAACAAAACTCACTAGCTGCAAATTTCAACAAACTGTGGTGAGATTGAGTTTCATGATTTTTGTGTTACACCCAAACGCACCCGAAACTTTCATAACGGCTGGCAGCAGTCACTTCGTGTCTGCCATCGGCGAACAGTAAAAAGAGATAGCAAGCTATACTTTCTGTTTCTAAAAAAAAAAAACGATGTGCAACTGAATCATTTTTGTGTCGAGTCAACTCTCAGCTTGATTTTTGCGCGCTGTGAATAGCAATATCAAAGGAGCTTGTAAAATCAATTTGTTTCAATATCACGCGTGATATTGAAAGCGTATGAGAGCAGAAAAGTATCATTTGAATGATGATATTGCCAACACTGCCCCATTATATAAAACCTCAAATCACACTAGATTTAGTTTAATGTTAGTTAAATCAAGAGCCCAGGATAACATTGGCCACATCCGGTCATCTTCCGGGAACTCCCA